CACCGCTCCTGCACCCATGGCAGACGTTATTAAGCAATAACCTCATTTTTGGTGGAACGTAGGTACAATCTCAGAAGCTGACTCAGCACAACCCTCCAGGCAGTCATTGCTAACCAGTTACCCTCAAGATGAAAACATTTGCCTCCCATTGAACAGAGAGAGCTGGAACTCCTCTACCTGGCCTTTGGATATCCCGACACCTCCATCACCCTCACCCTTTTCCCATTACTGCTCTGTGCTCCACATTCCATACACTGCTTGCCATCCACAAACATGCCTGCCCTTTGCTCACTCAGAGCTTTTGCGTATGACAGTCCCTAAACCAGCCCAGAATGCCCTCTGTGCAGACTGCTAGTTGTTCTGCCATCTCTGTTCTCCCACCTCCCATCGCAAGTGAGTTCTCTCTGGGCATATTGCCATCTGCAAAAAATACTGCCTGGCCTCCCTTGGACCTGCGAGTAACCATGTGACTATGTTCTGGCCAATGGGACGTGAGCAGAAGTGACGTGTTTTTTTTTGCAAGTTTTGCTCGTGTTGGTTTGAGCACATACAACCTTTGTCTCCTTCCTCTTTCACACTAACTGAAACATCTGCTGGGACCCAGAGATGGAAGTCACGAGATTAAGAGGGCAGAGCCACCCCCCATCCCTACTCTCCCAAGGAAGATATACCTTCACTTCTCCCTGGTTTAAGTCCCTGGGTGTGGAGGTCTTTTGTGAGGGCAGTAGCTGCATCTAGACCCTAACTGTATGTCCTCCCACCTACTGCTTTGTTCCTTGTGACCTGCCTCCAGAGCCACCCTTCAGTGAAGTTTGTCCAGAGTCCCAAGCACCTCGGGCTCCCTGCACTTCATATGCTCTCCTCACCAGCACACCAGTGCAGAGGATGGCCGCAGCCTCCCCACTAGGCTGCCTGAAGGCCTCCTGGCTCCATCCATCCTCTCTGCAGGGCCGGTGATGGCACTAGTGCACAAGCCTGGCCATGCCGCCCCCTGCCACTGCCGCTGCAGCCCAAAGCCCTTTGGTCTGGCGCTCAGGGCATGGCTGTGGCCTATCCTTCCTCTTAGAGATGAGGCTTGGGCAGCAAAGTGATTTCTTCCAGCAGCTCAGTTACACATGGTTCCTCAGTGTGAAACAGCATACCATCCCTCACACTGCCAATCCCACCCTGGACTTGACACAGGCTGGCCCCGCCCAGCCCCAGTGTGGCGGGCCTAAAGTAGCTGCTTCCTGGATGGCTAGAGCCAATATTGTCCTGTTCCTCGTCTGTTCATAAGAACAGGGCCAGAGAATGGGAGAGTCTCCCTGGCCTTTGTATTCTTCTCAAGTGGCCTAGGAAGTCCCACGGTATGCATATCGGTTCCCAAGCCCCTCTCCTGTCCCGCCAGGCCACACGCTTTGCAAATGGCCCACACCTATTCCTCTGAACTTCTAGCCACTGTGACCCTCCTAATTGAGATTTGACCTTTGGCATCCCGTCTCAAGCCCACAAGCCCATCATTCCCCTGGCCAACAGCGTGTGCAGCCCAGTGGCAGGATGCAGCCAGATCTCAGCCAGTAGGTGGCTATTTTGGGACAGGGAGGATCCTGGGAGGATGCTGGTGAGGTCAGAGTAGAAAGGGAAGGAGGCAGGTTTTATGCCCACGATTATGTGTCCCAAGCTCTCTGGGCGCCGCCCAGGGGCCCAAGGCTGCCACAAGGAAGAACACACCCACCACAGGACTCCACCTCGGCCTAGCTGGCCACAGAGGCAGACAGGGGGCAGGTACAGGTTTAAGGACCTAGGCTCTGATCCCAGTGACCACAGTGAGCAGGAAGAGTGTGTTTATCTGCTTGTCCCAACAGCGGTGAATTCAGCATCAGGCAAGACTTGGGGTGGGGGTAGATGGAGGACACAAGGAAGACTCCAATCATCAGGAATGATTATTATGATAAACTATTGAACATTCACAGAACATATACTAAGCATGGGGTACAATATTAGGTGTTGGTAAGATGAGTGAATCATGCTTTGAATCTGTACGTTGCACTTGACAATTGTATGAGCCCTTCTGCAAGTGTCACAGGGGTTCATAAAATGATTTATAAATTTATTTATTTATAAATTTATTTATTTATAAATTCTGGCCCTCAGAAAGTAATTGGAGAGGCACAATGTGAGGACATATGTTTTACTCCATAATTCCAAAATGTAGGATGCCTCTGTGTAGCCATTTCAGTCCATCTCTGCCTGAGTCCCCCAGAAGCTGGGAGAGTATCTTAGTCCCTCTGATTTTGCCTCAATTTAGAACCTTCTCTTTAAATTCTTCTCATATTGTCTACCTGGCTCTGTTCAATACTTTGGACCAAACTTCCCTCAGAGAAATTCTCAACACCCAGAGATACCCTTCACAAGAGCCCTTGCCTCGTTCCTCCACCCAGTCCCTGCGGGTGTCCTCTTGCTGGAGAGGACTGGCACCAAGCCCTTCCTTCTTCCCCAGGCATCTCTCCTCCCCTGACCTTCTAAGCTGCTTCATGGCCTTCTCCTTGCTGTCTGAGAATCCCGGTTTCCACATGGACTCCAAGCAGGCAAACGAAGTGTTCTTCCAAATCTTTCCCCCTCCTGTCACATCCCTCCCCAGGTTCACCTGAGCCAGATATGTTCTGAAACACAAAATTGAGACCTATGGGTCAGCCATCCTCCCCGATTATGGGCAGGACACTTGGAGGCAATGAGACAGCTGCTGTGCTTTCACCAACCAGGCATGGAAAAGAGACAGGTCAGTGTCTGCCTGATCATAAACATGTAGCCCACATTGCCTCGAGCACACCAGGCACCAGGACATGGCATTTGAAAAGGATGTCTGTGCATCTTCAAAGTGTGAGAGGCAGTTAAGACAATAATAATAATAGTGCTTCCTAGAAATCAGACAAAGTGCCAAGTACTTTCCAGGATTATCTCATTGAGTCTCCACCATACACCTGCAAGGAGGCTATTAGCCCTGGTTTTCAGACAAGGCAACCAAGGCACAGAGAGGTTAAATACCTCTCTAAAGGTCACACATAGCTGGTAATTGTTGGAGATGGAATTCAAACCTATATCTTCTGCGGCTCCAAATCTCTCGCCCTTAATTAACCAGAATACTATATGTTGAGCAAAAAGCAGTTTTTATTGCTCAAGAGTTATGGGGACAGCAGAAATAATTATTGGAAACTTGGGCTGCCACAGAAACCCTGATGCGAA